TTCTCTCAAAGTCGTATGGTACATCTAAATACAAATGAATAAACTATCAGCTCCTCTGGTGTTTACTGTCTTTTTAAAAACTAGCAGGTACCTATTAAGGCATCCTCAAACTGCATCTCTCTCAACTGGCTGTAGGCTGTCAGCCTTTACAGCACATTTGAATTCTGTGCTTCTGCTCTGATGGTGAATTGGGGGTGGCTATGGTGATCTTCAGAGGAGAAAATCAGGAGTGACAGTGAGATTTCTTTTTTTTTTTTTTGAGACAGAATCTATTTATGTATTTCAGGATGGCCTTGAACTCACTATGTAGCCCAGGATGGCCTCAAACTCATGGCAACACTCCTATTTCATTCTCCAGAGCACTGGGATTACAGGTGTTCACCATCATGCCTAGCGGAAAGTGACATTTATGACTTACTGATGCCTCTGAATTCTCTGAGTTCTGAACTACTAGAACTGGCATTTCAATTTAACAAAATTATTGAGACAGATTTAGCTTTTATCCTATGATATTTTCAAAATGCCCTTTCGTTCAGTTGGTTTTTTGACTTGATGATGTTTTAAAATCGAATAAAATTAAAATTGAAGATATCCTCTATAATACACATTACTTAAGTTAATATTATTGTGTGTTTTATACCTGATAAATAATCCTTTTGTAATGAACTCATATGAAAGAGGATATGGTGAAAAATATTTCTTGGCAGTGCATATTGAATTGTCACTGACGCACCTAAATTTTATGGGTGAAAACCTAATCTTTATTTACTTGCACCCAGCAAGAAGTGATGAAGTTTTCAGTGCAAACACTCAGTGAATTAATTTTTTCCTCCTGCAGATGATGTGAATTAGCAAGTGACAAAATTAATGCAGTGATAAAATAATATGATGCAAATGTTTTTCTCTCACCTGAAAATGTTGCTGTCATTCAATAGTTTTGAAACAAGAAGGCAGCCTAGGTTAACTTGAGATTGTCAGACTCAGGCTGAGTTACAGCTTCTCATGGATGCTTTATTATTTAGATAAACATTGTGACTATCCCGAATATCAAACATATTAATAATTATATTGATATACAAACAAAAAATCCATTTTAGAAACTCCAAGTTCTATACTTTAATGAGTATTTATTGAGTGTCTCTGATATCCCTTGCACTGTTCAAGATACTGGGGAATAGTGATGAACAATACATTTTAGAACCCCATTGATAAGGAGCTAACATTCCAATGGAGTTAGAAAACAGACAAAATAATTGAAATGATACATTTCCTAGAAATTTTTTGTTGTGTTGTAATTTCAAGTAAAGCCACAAACCTGAGAAATATAGATAATTTCATTTCCATGGTATGAATCATTTTATATAACAAGAGAATTATGTGCATATGCTCCTGGTGGGTGGTTGTATCTTTCATGTTGTGATTTAGGGAGCCAAGTTTTTTCCATCTTACGGTTCCTTCATCGTTTATGAACTCAGAAGTTCTGCATTCTTGGAGAAGGAGCAAACCAAGAGGACATCTTGCTAGTTTCACAGTTGCCTTTGCATATAGGTGATACTTCACTTTCACTTATTCAATATTAGAGATAACTAGTAACACAGCTATACCATAGTGCAAGAGGATCTGGGAATTGTAATATTTTGTTGGACAGTTGCTAGTCTTCATATTGTGAATGAGAAGCAAACAAATAGTGGGTGAATCTCATCAAATTGAACTCTACCAACTTTAGTCCATCTAGTGTACCCTTTAGTAGAGATGATATTTATTTTATATCAAGGGAAGTGAGAAATTATTTCTCTATCATCCATTTCCAACCAATATATGTTATTATTAGAGCACAAGAGAGTGGCAGTGAAGCAGACACTGACAGTTTATATGTGCTATGTTTTGGTGAGTTCCAATGAATGGAATGGACCACATAGTAAACATAAAAATGGCTAGATTGAAAGCAAAAAGCACTTCCACCATCACAAGACCTCATGGATCAAAGTTAATTTGAATTATGGAAAGACACTTGGTCCAGGCTATTTTGAAAGGTGCTAGCTCAAGATACATTCTTTTAATGTGCAAAAACACCAGGTGAAAGAATAAACAAAAAGTAATGGGAAATAGAGGAATAAAACTGGAACCTTGGAAGTGAACTGGAGATCAACCAGAAACAAGGAATGGCTTGTAGCCTCTTACCTTTCATCTTGTCTGTATCTTGTAACCTAAAGGCGCTACTTTAGAAAAATTATTGCAAGAGCAGAGAAAGTTAGATCCAGGGACATAATGAGATTTAAAAGAACAGGTCATGTATACTTCTTTGCAAAAAGTAGCCTGAGAAATTACTACATAGTCTTAAAGGTGAGAGTGAGGTGCCAATCAGAGGAGACCAGAAAAAGCATTTAATGGGGTAGGAAATCAAAGTATTGATTAAATTTGGATTAGGAGAAATATTTCAAAGTGAATATCTCTAACACCATGAACCATCCTGAGATACCAAAAGAAGGTAGAGAAGAACCAGACCCTTCACTGATTTGGAGAGTAGTTGAGTGAAACTTCAGATTGTATGCCACCAAGTTTAGTCAATCTAGAGTGCATATTACAATAAAATGAAAAAATGGCATAAGTTTGGACAATGATAATTTTATGAACAAAAATAGCTTGGGATGATACTGAATACCTTTTAAAGCATGGCTTTCTATTTTTGAACATAAAATAAACCATATGAAGATTAAAGACAGCTTTAGAACTCCCCATGTGCAATCATTTCTATTTTGTGTTTCCAAAACTCAACTGATTTATAGTACATTTTGTTCTAAATGTAAATTCACCTTAAAAGCCTACTGATCAAAATAGAGGAATATGTCATTGGTAAGGCATATAATAGCCAAATATTTCAAACTTTTATATAAAATACTCATATAAATAAAACTGACTCTGCTTCTCATCAAGTAAAAGTTGTTTTTCACGAAATTGGGGGTATGGTAGGATACCTCAGAGAAGATAAAGTAATTTACTTTGTTTTAATCTTTGTTATTTGTTCCAGATGATCATACATTTCTAGAGTTATATAGATCAAACAAAAGAGATGTTTCAAGAATAAAGTTATAAATTTTGATCATCTCGTAAAATGATGACTAACAAAACTTTTTTCTCCTTGCTGAATATATAAGGTCTTATAAAGTATTGAATTTTATAGCCTTAAAATATTGATAATTAGAATATTAATTTTGTCTAAGTTATTTTGGACAATATTTTGGCAAATAGATATCAAATAAAAATTGTCTATGTAACATAATATTTTAGAAGTGATATTTGTAGGATGTATTGTGAGATTTGTTGTTTTATTCTGTGGTACAAAATGAATATATTCACTGTAGGGAGTTGGTATATGTTTAGCATACTGTTGAAGTCTAGAAGAAAATAGTATTCAAACTTTAAGGAAATTTCAAAATTAATTTTATAATATGGTTACATTTGAAATTTTTTCTATAAATATTCAAAATATAGGACATTAATAGGAAACTTTTTACTATTATGAAACATTTGTTTCTGTTTGTTCTATTGCTATTTTCAAGACTCCAGAGAATTAGATTCTGGAGATTTTCAAGATATCATAGTGCCAGTATTTCCAAGCGATCAAAGATTGCTGTCTGAAGGCTGCTCTGTTCTGCATTTTGAGGATGTGTCTAGACCTTCTGGAAAGCAGCAAGGTGGTCCGTTAGTGGTACTTGCCAGAGATATAGTAAGGATGCCAAAGAGGAGTTGCAATATACGTGCCTCACAGCTGACATCTCCATTACCTACTCTTAAAAATCTAACCAACCATAGAATGTTGTAACTCCTTTGTAACGTGAGGAATTGTTCATGTTGGATGGGGTACATTTCATAGGGAAAATAGTAGCTTTCAAGTATGTTTCCTTTGTGTTGAAAGCTTACATGTAATGATAAAACCTAAAAACATTTGATATTACAGTATTGTATTCCTCTGTGGGCCAAGATCTATTTGACTAATGCTCCAGTCTCAAAATGTGAGTGAAAGCTCAGTGGTGTAGTTTCTGCCTGGCATGAGTCCCTCACTTCAGTTCCTGGTACCAAAAAAGAAACAAAAAGAGAAAGAAAGGAAGGAAGGAAGGAAGGAAGGAAGGAAGGAAGGAAGGAAGGAAGGAAGGAAGGATGGAAAAAGAGAAGGAAATGGAAAGGAAAGAAAATGTGAGGGGTTCAAAACTAGCCCTACCTTTAAGAAACAGAATAAAGATAATAACAATGTGTCAGAGAATATCACACATAGTAAGAATAGGGATTGTTCCATAAAATTTTTGTTATATGTATATATTAACAGAAATCTAGGGTCACTTGAGTTATTCTGGACTGTGATTAAAACAGGTTGAAAAATCAATGGTTTAAACTATAGAATTTTTGCTCCTCTGAAGAATCTGTAGCATTTTCTTGATTGGACTATGATCTTCTCTGAAACATATGAAAGGTATTCCAAAATAAATGTTTAAGCAAAATTTTTTTATTTCAATTTTCTATCTTGAGCCTTAGGCAAAATTTTCTAGGCCCAAATTGATAGTATCCTATTATCCTGACACATGCCTTCCTTTAAGTGTTTGATTTGTTTGACCTTTGTAAACAGCTTAGGAAGCTAAGTCTTAATAAGTGTTTTATAAAATATGTCAAGTTGCCTAGCAAAATCAGTACACTTTGTGACTTGATGCTATCATCAAATTACTGCTGAAGGGAATACTGAAAATGTTCTTCATAGTAATGATACTGGAGGAAAAATATTCTTATTATTTAGTTTCTTGGATCTCTGCATTGTATTTGTGGCTAAAAATAATGTTACTGTTTACTAAGACTAATGAAGCAAGACCTATAAAGAGATTAAATTTGAGTAAAATATATTCAGGGATAAAAAAATGACATTTTATAATAATTTTTGTTACATTTTCTTCCACAGAACAATGACTTTGCATACACTGAAAGTTAATTATGTGTTTGTTTTATAATTCTAGGAGACTAGTTGCATTGAAATACCTATCTCTAATCCAAAAGACAAAATTATTTGCATAGATGTGATATTAACAACTCCTGCCCTGAGTGGACTCCCAAAACTTACACTGAATCCACTGGAAACTATTAACTACATTGTATGGTATTCTCCAGCAATTATAGGCTATAAAGAAGAAAGGTAAGGTTTCAGTGTGGTATTGTAGAGTACTTTGTTTTTGATCGTTTGACATTATGCTTTTAAAATTATTGCTTTGCATGCTTTAATACAATAATAGATATGAAATGTACTAACTTAGGGCTAGCTTTTTTTTTTTGCTTCAGTACAAAATTATTATTTGGTAGCATATCAAATTATTCCTAAATTTCTTTTTTGACTTCCTGTTTCACTTCACTTTTCAGTAAATAAATATTTCTGAGTGGAAAAACTGGAAGAAATGAAAATGATTCCAAGAGAACTGGGAAATAGACTCTTATTTTCTTGATGAAAATTATTCCTTACATTTTGTTTCCCAAGTAAATATAAATCATTAATTTAGAGGCTATAGAGAAAACTTGATTACAGATATTATTCCATACTGAAAGCATACACATGCATACAAATTTACACATGTGCAAATTTTGGGACAAATATTAATGATGAAGTATACTTATAGCATGATGATTTTGAAAAACTTTCTTTGCATTATACATTCATATACATGTACACATAAAAACATAGCTCATATAGTAATGGTTAACTAAAAAATTTATTAAATTTATTTGTTTCAATGTTGATATCCAAGTTATGTGAGTGTCTTTACAAGGAGCAACCAAATAAATGGTGAATGCTGAGCGCCATCCAGGGGAAAGGTAGGCATGTAAATACTCTAAGGTGTATCCTAAACTACCTTATTCAATCAGATCTGCCTCTCTTTGACTTCTGGCTCCTCCCCAAAGTCAAAATGACCGTAAAAGGTAAACATTTTTAATTGATTGGGATGAGGCAATCATGACAGTGCAATTAAAAGACTCTCAAGAAAGAGGAACTCCAGAACTGCTTAAGAAAGTGGCAGAAATATAGGATAAATGTATTCAAACCAAGAGAGAGCATTCTGAGGGGGATTAAAGCCAATATTTCATTTACTGTAATAATTTTTTAATTTTTTATTTCATTAAGTTTATTGGTGCATTTTATGTATACAATGCGATGGCATTCATCATTGGGAATTTATATCTTTACATGATGTGTCTTGGTTCTTATTGTTTCCCATTCCCTTGCTTTCCCTTCAACCCCTCCAATCCCTTCCTATTCACACTTTGTTTCTGTTTTTTTCTTTTCTCGTATTTATTCCTTTACCTTCCCCTATGCCTCTCACTTCCCATTCCCCTTTGAACCTTTTCTAGTTTTTATTTTCATTCTTATTAGTACATGTTTACAATACAGTTATTGCATTTATTGAAAAATAATGCTTCATTGTGTATAAATATCATATTTTCCTTCTCCATTCTTCTATTGGTGGACATATATAGGACCTTTCCAAGATTTAGCTATTGAGTTGTGGTATATTTTATTAATTTATAAGTTAAAAGAAGATAGCAGAGCTGAGATGCTAGCCCAGTTATTCACTGAAATTACAATAGTCTCTGTGTTCTCAGAACTCAACACCAACACAGAAAGCTCTCCGGAGCCATATGACACTCGCCTTTACATGAAAGTGCACATGCATTTAACCCAACAAACTAAATTTAGTCTAATGATGGTTAAAAATCAGCACTATTTTTTGGTACTCATTTCATAAGACATTTAAAATATTCATATTTAACATGTACTCTTGATCTCTTATTTAACACATTTATTAAATAAATATTAAAGATATCCATGTTTTTCTTGAATAATTGAGTGATTTTATCATCAAAAAGTGAAAAATTTAAAATGACATCTACCATGAATGTAGAATATGTCACAGTGTAGTTATCAAATACTGTTTTATTTTTGTTTGTTTTGTTTTGTTTTTTGTACCAGTGATCGAACTCAGGTCCTGTGCTTGGGAGGCAGCCTCCAGAACCACTGATCTAAATCCCCGACCTTCAAATGTTGTATTTGAAAGCAACTATTTTTACCAATTTGATATTTTTTTCTGCAAAGTTTATTATACAAATTAAAACCACTAACAAGATTTTGCATATTTTTTTTCATCAGCATTATTTTTCAGCCTGTAATGGGTGAAGAGTTCTGGTGTTTACTGAAATTAACTACTGAACTTCCAAAAAGAAAGGAAATACCAGAAATATATTGTGACCTCGGAAAGTAAGTTCTGTTTCTTAGAAAAAAATTCTTTATTCAAGAAAAAAATCTAGTATATAACAATATTGGTATAATGTATTTAATGTTTTAAAATAAGAAATATATATATTTCTATTGAAAATCTTGACAAGGCAAGCAAATCGGGGCTTAGTAAGTGAAGAATTGTATTCAAAAGGATTGTTGACAGGGAGGAAAAAGGACTAATCGTAATAGGAAAATGCACCCATTTCAGGAATCAGCAATGTTCCATCTCACAAAATCAAACAAAAATAATTTTATAGGGTAAAAGGGGAGAAAACAAATATAAACAATCTTAACAGTGAAAGTTGGACAAACAAGGGAAAATGATCAGTGGTATCTAACATGAAAAAAGTTTCACTGAAGTGAAAGGGAGGAGTCCCAGGGATGTCTGTAAATTGGGGTTATCTTTTGTGTGCGTGTGTGTGTGTGTGTGTGTGTGTAGCATTGGAGACAAGACCAGTTCAGGGTGTAATGGAAAGCACAGATGACAAATGAAAGTTTGGTTAGTTCAAAAGCAGAATGTAAGCAAGGGGCAGCTATGAGCACTTGGTCACATTTGGTTAATACTATATTCCCCTGTGATGTGATTATTCTTATTTAGGTGGTCAAATTTTTATTACATGTCTGGCACCAAATTTGTTGGTGATGAACATGAGTACAGAGATTGCAATCAACTTTTAAAGAGTGCTGTATATGCCCTAGTGAACAAATCAGTGCTGCTTAATTTCTCTCTCTTAGCACACAAAAAGTGTTGAATTATTCCAGTCCTAGATTTTGGGCCAAAATGACTAAAAGTGATTGCTTCAGAAGTGACTTAAGAGAAATCTTTAGAATAGGGAAAGTAAGATAAATGCAGAAGCTTTGCACAGATGTGATTGAAGGTACATTCCCATACTGATCTTGCAGAGGTCTGGAGTTTAAAAGAAGTCTTGAATACTTGCCCTGCCTTAAAGCAAAGGAGCAGTTTTCTATTTGATATAGTCTCTTCCCTATTCTACTTCATGTTTATTTTAGATTCACAAATAATAAGATTTATATGTATATGTTACAAAGTGGTATTTTGGTACATTGTGAAATGATTAAATCAGACTGAGTGTATCCATCACCTCAAATATTTATCACTTATGGACAGAACATTTAAATCCTTGTCTTTTACCTATTTTGAGATGTATAATACATAACTATTAGCCATGCGGTGAGCTTTTCAACTTCCATACTAGTTACTATAAGCATCTTTGAGATGAGGTATCGATTCCCCAGCAGTTGTGCTCTGAAGGGTTTAGGATGTTCCAGAACCCAAGGAAAATCATCTGAAAATTTGAAATGGAAGGTAAAGAGCAAACTTGCAGAAGTTGAGGAATGGGGGAGAGACCTGGTAAAAAAATATTGTTATATTTTAATACATTTTAATTTTATATATTATTATAGTTATGCATTACATTATATGTGAAAGTTATTAATAAATATAGGATTGCTATGTGAAAACCTTTGCTTTAGTTTTATGATCTTTGACTCAACTAAATAGTGGTAAACCCTTTTAAGGTTGTCTTTTTTATACTTTAATTTCTTTTCATCAAAATTATATCTGTATAATTAAAAGGCATATGATATTAAAAATGTTTGCTAAAAACTATTTTAATCAGCTTGCACTGTATCCTTATCTTCTTTGGAAGTTTGTAAGATTTGTAATTGCACCCACTGTCCTTAACATGTCTTGCTGTGGCTTTTTTCTTTGTAACTGGAAACCCTTGAAAAGGAAACTTATGACATCCATATCATCTGTCATCTTAGCTCCTACCCTTATGTTTTGGGGGTGTTTTTAATTTTTTTTAACCTCTTCTTCCAACATCTGTCTGTTTTAATTCATGCAGGCTAACTCAATTTTATCTTCCAATCCTTCTATGGAGTTTTTAAACAGCTATTAACATCAAAGGCTATTTTGTTGTTACCATTGCTCTTTATTTGCTATAAAAATATGTTTTTACTTGATGTTTTAATATACAATATCCAGTAAGATATCAATGGTTGGGCTGGGGATTTAGCTCAGTGCCTCCAATGCCTGCCTCACAAGCGCAAGGTCCCAAGTTCGATCCTGGGTACCAAATAAAAAAAGATATCAATTTTGTTGTTGTTTTTTGGTACCTGTGATCGAACTCAGGTCCTTGCGCTTGCAGGGCAGGCAGTGGAACCACTGAGCTAAATCCCCGGCCCATCAGTGGTTATTTTAAAATGCTAGAATCTGTATTTTTATTTGTATATGATTGTAATATGTAATAATTACATTTATCTTTAAATCCCTTTCCCACTTTCACACAGTCTTTCTTCCTGTTTCTTATAATCTGTCTTTTATATTCATCTTTAATTTTTTTATATTTTAGTTTTCCCATATAAGAGAAACCATGGCATAATGTCTGCTTCCAAGAATTGGCTATCATGAGTTATGCTGCTATCAACATGGTTATGCATGCATCTCTGTACTGTAGTATGTTAACTCTTTCAGGAAGATATCTAGAAGAGGTTTAGCTAGGTCAAATGGAATTTCTATTTTTAATCTTTTGAGGACAACAGAATGAAAGGGCAACCTACAGAATGGAAAATCCTGATCTCTTTCTTATTAGAAACTTTATCAGATGCTTGTTTCACACATTTTTAAGTGAGAAGATTTAAAATGATAAATGAAAAATTCTCACACCATGGATGGGTCTTATCAAACCATTCATGATCTTCTTTTGATTTTAATTTTTGGTGCCTTGTGTTGAACCTATGATCTCTTAAGTTCTAGGAGTGAATTCTATCACTGAAGTATAACATCTGCCCTCCTTTTATGTGCCATACTTCATTTATTCTTCGTGTAAAAAATTGTTTTTATTATTGAAGGAATTGTAGGTTGTTTCTACATTTGGTATATTATGAAATGTGTTGTTTATAACATTTATATATCCTATAGTACATGTGAGCTCATTTCTGTTGGACATAAACAGAAGGATACACTATATATTACTTGACATGCATTTATTTAAATTTAGTAGATAATGACAAAGTATTATAAATCGGTTGTACCTGTTTGCATTCCCAATAGCCATGTCTGAATTGTTGCTTCACATCCTCAAGAACATAAGTATTGTAAGAATAATTTTAACTATTTTGATTTTTGTTAAGTGCTATCTCATTGTATTTTTCACTTACATTTCCTCATAGATATTGCAGTTGAGTACATTGTTATATAACTTTTGAAGGCCATTTTGACATAGCCTTTTGAAGTGACTGTTTATATCTTTTCACCATTTTTTCTGATTTGTCTGTATTTTTCCTTTTTTTTTTTTAGCTGGGGATTGAACTCAGGACTTGCACTTGTGAGGCAGGAGGCAGCACCATTGAGTTAAATGTGCAGCCCCTGTATTTTGCTTTTTCACTTAAAGCTTTTTCTATATTTTGGAAATAAATTGTGTTCGTTACATTTCTCTCATTGCTGAGACAAAATACCTAATAACCACAGTTGCAGGGGAAGGGGTTTATTTGGCTTACAGTTTGTTTGTTTTTGGTACATGGGGATCGAATTCAGGACCTTGCACTTGAGAGGCAGGCAGTGGAACCACTGAGCTAAATCCCCAGCCTGGCTTGCAGTTTGTAGAGATTTCAGTCCTTAATTGGCTGGCTCCAGGGCAGGGATGACAAACAGGCATCACAGAGGATGAACAACACGGCACCCACACAGTAACAAGGGCAACAAGAGGGCTTTAGTTCAGGGTGGAAGACAGCAAAATCAACAAGAGAGCTAGAGCTTCACTGTCTCTTTCTGCCTCTTTTATCTTTTTCAGACTACTTTGGGTAAATAGCACACATGCCCTTAAATCCTAGTGCCCTTGGACCTATCCGCACCATAAGTCAATCACGGGATCTAGATTAAACTATCTCTGGAAAGCATGAGTCTTTGGGGAAACATGTAAACACAAGCCATAACATTAATCATTGTGAATTATGTATGTTGTAAATAAATTTTCTTGTAGGTTACATTTTAAAATTTGTTAGAGAGGTTTTTAAAAAAGAAAATAAATGCTTAGTTTTAGCAAATGTATCTGATCAATCGTTTTTATTGCCATTTTTTTCTGTCTCTCAAAGTTGTTACCATCCACTATGTCATTTTCAGAACAATGTATTTTCTATAACTATCCTACCCACAACTACTACCTAGCTAGCATTGATCAATATTGCAGCATGAAAATAACATGAGGCAGGAGATCAGTACATTAAATCAAGACCCTGGTCATAGCAGCTTGGGCCAGTGTTGGCAATATTATGCTGACAATGTACTTTGCTAACTAATAGTATGAGACATATAAGAGAAGCAGAAATGCCTGGCTGACACTAAGTTTACTGACCTGAAAAGCTAGAACAAAAAGTTTAGGATAACTGGGATAGAGAGAACTACACAAAGACCTAGTTTAAGATTAGATATTTAGAATGCTGGACCTGAAATTTAAGGTGACTATTAGACATAAGAATAAGTGGAAAGTTGATTTAAAAACCTGGAATGCAGTGTAAAGAGTCAGTTTGGAGATAGATAAACATTTAGTTCTCCCTTGCTTTGCAGTTAGTTGCAGCAGTAATGATTAAACAATAGAATTATGTACTTGCATTTCTAAGATGGAGACAGCCTTAATTATGCTCCATAGTTGGCCTTACAGATTATTGTTAATGAAACTTAGAAAGATAGGTAGGAGTCATTTAATAAATCCTTGGTAGAATGATATTAAATAAACTCAGTTCCCCAGGATTTTTTGCATATTAGAGGAATATTTTGCTTTATGAATTTTATAATAATCACATTCTTCCCAGTAGTTCGTGATTATTTTCTCATCACTTGGATTCTGTATGATCTGCTTATAATTTTTTTCTATTTTGGAGGAGATTAAGACTTGGAAGAAGTTGATAACAGAAGGACAGAGTGTCCATGTATGCTTTATCCTGTAATTAATTTTAAAGATGCTACTTTTTAATTCACATTAAATTACCTTTTTTTGGTTTGCAATATTCATATTTTTAATTTCCTCATCTTCCTCTATATTAACAAGCTTGAGGCAGTTTGGTGAAACAATTTTTCATGACTATGGAAAAATATGGAACTCACAGTGAAAGTAAAAATTATAAACTATTAAGAACTTTAAATTTGTTCCTAAATATTATTTATCAGCAATCCACATTACATGCATTGATGATCTACAATCTTCTTTGCTAATATATTGGAAAACTAGTACATAAGACACTATTAGATTAAATTTAAAAATATTTTTACTGGATGAACAGTGAACCAAGCACCTCTTCATATTTTTCTATGTGATTCACTGGCAATCACAGTCTTTCTTGCTTTTTGCATCAATCCCATTTCAAATGTCATCAAGTTATATTAATCCTCTGCAATTAAATTGATTTTAATCTATAAAACTAACACTGTTTTCATGTGTTTATTAGTGAAACTTTTGAAATAGAGTGCATCATTTCATAGTTACAACTTGCACTGGCAGAACTTCAATTTTAATTTTATTTTGGAAAACAATGGTTTTATTTATAAAGAAAATATAAGTCAATTTATAATTATGAGTATTTTTAGTGTATAATTTGGACCAAGTACATTTTATTTGGAATTGAGCCTCTGTAGCTCCAGCTGTAACCCTTCTTAAACTTCAGGCTTATCCTTCTATCTGCATGGTAGATATTTAATTAAATGTACTACAGGCTCATTATCTCTCAGCAGAGCTCCTTGCTGTGTATTTATCTCATTTATTTTCCTCACCTTGCAAACAGCCACCGAAGCCATGACTTTAAAATTATTTTTACTTTCTCACACTAAGAAATCTATTTTGTAAACACTCACTCACACACATACACACACACACACACACACACACACACACTTGAAATGGGAGCATCATGATCATTACCTACTCATATCAAGTGTGGTAAACTGTGATGTTGCTTGCCATATTTATTTTCTTTATGTTTCGTGTTGTGGAAAAAATAAAGCACCATAAAATTAACTATTTTAAAATAGACAATTCAGAGGCATTTGTTACCTTTGCACTGTTTTGCAACCATCACCTCTATCAACTTCTAAAACCTTTTTATCACTCCAAAAGGGAGCTATCTTTTTTTTTCCTCATTCAGTTTATTGGTGCATCTTTTAAACATTTGTTACAACTAACACCCGCCCACCCTCCCCGCAGACCCTAGAAAATGCTAATTTGCTTTCTGGCTATATCTATTTAGATATTACATAAATAAAATCATAAAAATCTAACCTTTTTTGTTTGGCTTCCAGTTCAGTATATAATACCGTTGCTTTGCTATTTACGGAATTAATCTGACAGTCCACTACTGGGCTGTTTACATGCTTTATAAGTCCATATGTAGGTTATCCTTCTTGTCCCTTCTTCCAAACACAGACTTCAACCCATTTGCATTCTTTTTAGCAATGAATATCACTGGAAGTGCTTGTCTCTATATTCCTATTGCTCAGGTCTTCATTCTTTCAACTGGATTGTTATACCACAATGATTATAATTAGTCTCTGTACCTCTCTTCTATTCTCAGTACAGTTCATTTTCGAACTTATTATATATGTGTGTGTGTGTATTTGAGAATGTCACACTTCTACTTAAAAAACAAACAAATGCACAAATAAGCTCTCCAGCTTCTTTTACTGTCTTCAAAATGAAATAAAAGTGTTTTAGCTTGGTGTGTGAGAACTTCATATTCTTTTTATTTTTTATTTTTTTGGTCTTGTTTATTCAACCTTATTCCAGACAGTACTAGTAGATCTGACAGTGTGCCATATGTATCTTTGCCATCCTCAGGGAGTAAGTAAACTAGATATATTATGAGTCTCTGCCAGTCCTGATTCAAAACCATAAGATTCTCCACACATTAAAACCATTTTGTATTTAATAAAGTGAGACTAATGGGTGGAGATCTTAGTTTTCACTTTGATTGGTAAGAGCAACTATGTCACTCATTTTAACTGAATATAGATCCTCTTTGGGAGAACATTAAATGTTTTCTGCAAATTATACTTGACAGTTGCAAGTTTTTCTAATTCTTACATATTTGTTCACCTAATTTATAAGATCTTATATCAAAATACCTGATAGTGAAAGGAAATGGAGTCAAAATAGTAATAAGAAGAATATTTAAGAAAATATGTATTGCTCGGTAGAAGGTTGCCTAAAAATCCTGTATTTGATTCCTTGGGGTCAAATATCCAAAAGCCTGTCAAACATTAGATTTTAAAGCTGTAAAGAAATGTTCTTAATTTTCTCAATTTTGTTTTATTGCTACATGGAAAATATTTTGATTTTATCTTTTATGGGAATTGAGTCTTGTTGCATAATCAACACAGAATATGAGAGAGAGATTATTTTAAAAAGAATATGCCAAATTGCAAATACCTGCAAAATGTTTTTGCTAAAAACAAATATAAATAGAGCTAGTGCCACACCACGAAAATAACCTCCTACAGCCTGATGTTTAAATACTGCTTATATTTGAAGTAAATGTCAGTGATGTACATATAATTTTAGAGAGATGATTAAATGGTTTAGGAAACTAAGAGCATTATTTACTATCCTTAAAATTTTTATCTCTAGTATACGAGCAACTTGTCCACAACAACAACAAAAAAATAGAAGTAGCAGAAAGGATCATCTTCATTTCGTGTATTTTCTACATTACTTATTCATAACCAGATCCAAAGCATGTACTTGCAGCTTGATTGTTTAAACAAATGGAAGGTTGCCAAACATAAACACTTCAATTAATCATCAGCTGTTCTTGAAACTGATCTAGGCATGAGAAAATGCTAAAATCCTGGATCTCTGAGTTGAAATATATATCATTAAATGAGTTAAAATCCATAGCATTTCATGAAATATGTGCATCAAATTTGCTTCTCAATGATATTTGAACAATATCTTTATTTTCTTATAGTAGCACAGACAACTAGTTTGAGAACATTTTGTTTATAGTTTTCTATGATGTGATTTATGAGAAAACTTGTTTCCTTTATAATATTCTAAGCAAAGCCAAATGTGTTGATACATACCTGTAATCCTAGCACTTGGGAGACTGAGGCAGGAGAACTGCCATGAATTTTCAGCCAGATAGGCTACACAGTGAGTTCAAAACTAGCCTGAAATACATAATGAGATTCTGCCTTAGGAAACCAAACTACTAGTACTAATAATATGTGAAGTAGGTACAAACCAAAAAAAAAAAAGATAGTAAATCTGTCATAAATTTTAATTTACTTACTATATTTAATGAAAATCTGGTTATTTTGATGAAATTGTTTTTCATATGTATTTGAAGAAATAAATTCATTATTTACAAAGTTGTTCAATTTGAAATTGAGTATTATGAAACAAATATATTCTCATGGTGATTCACTGTATGCTTATATATTGTGTATAAAGAAAATTGTTTATTTCAAACAGTTTGAATTAATGAATTGAATTCTCCACAAGTATTGCTATTTTTCTCTGTCATAGGATCCTAATATGAAAATTAATAATATATATTTCCTAATGAGTTTCTTATTTGTATTACAGATTTGACTTCTAAATATTTAAATCTTAATTATGTTTTAATATAAGCAAGAACTACTAGAGCAATAAATAAGGGAATCTGTAAATACCTAAAATTACTGTATTAGGATTCTATCCTTCAGTAGTACATAAAGATAAAAAATTACAAAAAATTATGATTGATTGAAAATTATGAGCCCCCTTTATTATTCTTTGCTTTGAGCATATGTAAGAGTCATGTTTTTTAGCATTTGCTTATTATCAATGTTGACATTGTTAATATTATGGATGGAAATTCTGTGAATATATTTCCATTATTGTTTTTAGACTATGTTAGCTTTTTTGGTTGTTATAAAATACTGAATAAATGTTGCTCCTCAACCCGAATTATGTTCAAGTATTCATTATGAAATAACACTTTGTCTCTATATTACAGAATCAGGAGTTATTTAATTTATATAAATTGAATTATCTTTATTCACTTCATAACTTCATATTTGGAGATTCATAAAAGTCATTGCATTAGATTCCTAGGGCTACCATAACAAGCACTATAAATTGAGTTGCTTTAGAAAGTATACATGTATTGTCTTTTAGTTGTGGTGGCTAGAGCTTCAAAATCAAAGTGTCAGCAGGGGCGTGCCTCTTCTGAAGCCTGTAAGAGAATATTCATTGTCTTTTTTATCTTTTTTGATTGCCATTAACTTTTGCATTTTCCTGACTTTTATACCCATCACTCCAATGTCTTTATCCATTGTCATTTGAACATCTACTGGATTAAGAAGCCACCCTATTCTAAAATGATTTCAGTTTAACTTAATATATATGTTCTAGATAACAAATAATATCACATTCTGAGATAATGGAGGCATCAGGAGTTAAAATTTCAACATATTTAATGTTACAGAACTTTATTGGTCATTATGACTGGTTGGCATGCACAGAAGATGGACAGCATTTTATTTTTTAATCTGTTTTGAATAAAATATTTATTGTAAATGATGTTTGTTACAGAATCTAAACACAACACTATACCTCATAAGGACGTACAATTATTATATGTCAGTTTATCTTTTGAGACGCTATAATTCAACCTGTATTGGGCAAGCTTATGGAATTAGCATTGAACAACTTTGTAAATACCAGCAATTTTACTCTTTGTTTTTCCTCCCAGGCATGCCATTCAGACCATTCCCTTATATAATCCTACACATGAAACTTTAGAATTGCAAGTAACAAACAGTAATCCTGCAAATTTTGTCCTGAAAATTAATGGAACATTACCAGTAAGTACATTCAGAAAGTGATGAAACCTACAGGTACGGCAGGATTTTCTAATTATTATTTTAGGACATCTGTGGAGTATTATCATTTGCATTATTAGTAAGGATTTAGATATTCAAAATTTTGATATATACTTTACTATTATATAAATTTCTCCATGAGTTTCAAACTATCATGAAAACAATATTATGCTAATTTGTAACTTTTAAAATTATGTATGCTAAAATGACGCTCATTATCCTAAACTTTAAATAAACTGATTTTATTTTGTTTCTGATGATTTTAATAATTAGTTTTTTGCAGTAGTTTTCCAGTAATATGACTTTAACTCGAATCATTACATATTTCCAGTGTCCCAAGAGATCATGTAATCTCTACCCCTTCTGCAGTCTCCTGCCACCTGCAAACATTTCTAGACAGTGTTAACAACTCTGCCACATCACCTCCATTCCTGCCTCCTACTTCAATTTCTCATGTTTGTGCCCTGGGAAAGACTAGAGTCAAAGCAAAGTACAGAACTAAATTACTTTTCTTCTTCGAGTTATAAAACAATATACTATAGTTTAATATATCTGTCTGTTTCCAAAATATAAGAACCAATTATTTGTGTTGAGTGGGAAACAACATACAGTCAGATAAACATCAAAATGTTATTTCCAGGGAAATAGGAAGGCAAGGTAGCACATGCCTGAGATTCACTATTCTGGAGGCTGAAGCAGGAGGGTTGCCTGAACCCAGAAGTTCAAGGCCAGCCTGGGCAACAAAGAAAGAACTTTAATGTAAAAAAACACACAAAAAAAACAAAATCGAAAAACATGAAAAATTTAATTCCCACAATTTATTTTCATTGAGTGACCTTACAATGAATCAAGAAGATCTGCTAGCATATATGATATTTAAATTAAGGCTTTACTAATTGGTATTAATAGACTAACAAATTTACACTTGGATTTCTTTATCTCTTGACATCTATTTCTTGGCAGTTACTGCAGAATATAACATTATGATATGAAATTATTTCATTTCTGTTTGTTTTGAGACAATCTCACCATGCGGCTAGTTCAGGCTAGCTTTGAACTCATTCTGTAGCCTTGGCTACTCTAGCTTGCAGTGATCCTTCGGCCTCAGCCTCCTGTGTGCTGGAATTATAGGTGTGCGCCACCATGCTTAGCTGTGAAATTACTTCTTAATGATAATAATGTACCAAATTAGAAATCATTTAATTATTTTATTGCTAAAATTGGTGAATACACCTCAGAAACAAATTGTTTAAAAATTACTTAAATGTACATACACCATATTTCCCATAAATTATATGGAACATGGGATTCAGGATGTAGCATATATATATAAGTAAGTTGTGTTTTTACATTTTTTAGATTTCTGCTTTTAGACAAGAGTATAATATATTGTCTAAATGAAAACAAATGCAATATAGTTCATGCAACTTAATTAAGAGAATGGATTCTCTTTTATCCATACAGGTGTGCACCACCAAGACTGGCTTCAAATTATAACTCTTATGTTCATATTATTCTCCTGTTATCTCATATTCATGTGAATTCTGTTCCCTTCAACTGTCACAAGAATATCTTTCCCTCATGAACTAGGATTCAATGTAAATCCTACATTGGAATTAGTTATATAATGAGGCTTGCAATAAAATATTTTAAAGTATCAAAATAGCTCTCCACTTAACATATTCATTATACTCCATTACACAAACTAGTAAAGTTACTGCAATTAAAACTGATATTTACCTCTCTAGGTCATATATTCTTCATGAATCTCAGTGAGATTTAGGTATAAATAAAATTTTAAATTAAAATGCTGCTTCATTGTACACACTTACTCAACTTTTCCTACACGCCTGTACTATATAGAAGAGGGATTTGAGAATACAGAAGCTAAAACATTAAACTGTTAGTAAATTATTTTAATTGACTTAATTAAAGTCCAAATTAATGTAGTATCTTGTTTCCTTCTTTCTCCCACCTTCCCTCTCTCTTTCTCACTTTGTCTCACAGAGATATAACTGCATCCTTATCTATCTATAGCTATAGAGAGGATAACTTTTTCATACAGGCTATGTTGAGAGGATATGTAAAATTCATCTTTTGCTAAGCCTAATGATGAATCTAATTTATACTTCTAAAGTATTTATTAACCGATAAACCCGAAACATTGGATGCATTAAAAAGAAGGCCAGCCTGAGATAAAATTATTTGCTGTATATAAAGTATACATATTTAATTAGGAAGTGACTCTGTTGTAACTATAAAAGTAAATTTGCATTTGCATTTTGCAGTCATAATTGCATTTGATTGAACATCAAATGCTGTATGTTATGGGGATTGAATGATGGAGCTAACTTGCAATTTTGCTTTTTTGAAGTTTATTTTTGCAAATATATTAGTAGTAAACAATTGACTTGCTTTTCAGACATGTGCCACTTGTCATATTGTTCTGTAAGTGTTGATATCACACACTGTATTATTCTTTTTTTTTTTTTTTTTTTTTTTTTTACCCATACTGTATTATTCTATACACTGGGAATACTGCATACTATTTGTTGTCATTTCCATTTGTTATTTTGATTTCATAAGCCACCGAGTCTTCATTATATTGTGATACAGTCATTGGTTTCTTTCAGTGTGTAAAGAACTAATTCAAACTCTTAATGTACATAATAGCAGGTCATACCATGATCGTGTATATAACAAGATCAAGAGGAAAACTTTAGTGCACATTAAAAAATCATGCCTTCCATCCATACTTCAAAATGTTCATTTTGTAAGCATTGCCAGGCCTACACGTTAAATTGCTAGGATCTTGACATGTACCATGGAAAGGTAAATAAGCTATGGGCTTAAATAAAATCCACATTTCCATGGATCTAAGAGGATATAATCCATCTTTTAACCCTGATTTAAGAGGATGTAATCGAGTTTTTAATCCTGACTTCCTTCTTACGCTGTGATTACGTTCACGATATCTGTGGGAAGATCATGGCATAAGAACCACTTAGGGACCCTTTGATCAATATTCTCAGTGATGGTTTCCTGAGAAAAAATAAAATGTGTAAGGCCACACATTTAGCACTTAAACGTCAACCTTGCATTTACGTGGCATACAGAGATCCATCTGAAAACTATTGACTTTTTTCTTTTTTGCTTCTTCCTGAATTTACATAGTTGACTATACTTCCTCACTCTACCAAAGAGATAACGGTTTGCTTTTATCCTTCTGCACTTGGAAGAGCTGGTCATGAAACTTGTATCAACTTCTTCTGTACTCAGGTAAGATAAGACTATTCTTGGCTTAAGTAAAACTAATGAAATATCAAAATGCACACATAAGTAAACCCAATTGATATATTTGACATCTTTGCAAGTAAAAGATATAAGGGAAAGGAAAAAAATCCTAGAAAACAAAAAAAATGGAAATAAAGTTTTTGTAAATAGGGAAGGGGGGTGAAGGGAGGGCAGGGGTAAGGGGAAAAAATGAGAACCAAGACCTGTCATGTAAGGGTACAAGATCCCAATGATGAATGGAACTGTACTGTATAACAAAAAAGTACCAGTAAACTCAGAGATAAAAAGAGAAATTCATTGGAAATCATTATATAAATATACATTTGAAAATACAAATATACATTATCTATGCACAAGCACCTAAATAAGGGTAAATTTATATCCTTGGATCTCTTGAACAAAGGAGAGTATATGCCCAAATTTAAAACATCAATATTTTAGTGTAAATATTAAATCATTTCTGAAAATGTTGATTTTCAGACTTCAGTTTTATTAAATTTACATGAAAAGAATAAAATATAGAGTGAAGTTTTGCAAATACTGTTACTTCCTCAATTTCATTTTATTTGTATAGTGTGTCTGAATAATAATTTTTATATGCTCTCTGGCTATCTCTCTCTCTGTGTCTCTCTCATTACCTCAATTCATTTGCACCACAGTCCTATAAAAGAAGTAATGTTAACAGCACTATTTTATGAATCAGAAATCTAAGACACAGATAAATTAAGATCAGGTACCTTGTGTCTATGCTTGGATATAGTTAATTTCTTTTGATATTGCCAAGGCTACCTGGTAGGTACCTGGTTGTTAGCTTGGCTTATACCATAGGATTGTGCAATAATCTATGAGCTCCTAAATAAAATACATATTTCTACTGACATCTTCATGGTTAACTTTCACAGGTATGTACAGTTTTCCAAGTCTAATGTAACTATAATATATACTCATAAGTAAGTGTAAGTCTGGTACTGATAATTAAAAATATGCATATGTTTTACATTTATTATAATTTTTCCTACCCCAAATGTGGATGGGAAGGAAAATAAATAGGGAAATATACTCCATATACTTGAGAATATTGAAGGAGTCACAAAAGCCTTACCTCTGAGTGTTAGTGGAAATAAATACAATGTGGAATGCACATGATCACCATGCACAGATCCCCATGTCTGTGCAGGGTCTGTGGAAGACTGAAATATCCTTTTCTCAAAAATGTACTGTAGTTTGTTTTTAGAAAAAATATTTTTTAATCTTTATTAAATTTATCGGTACATATTAGGTATACAGCACAATTAAAATCAACATTTGGATCTTGTACCTATGCATGACTTACCGGGTTCTTGTTTTTCCCCATTCCCGAGCCCTCCTCTCAGTCCCTCAACCCTTCCCTGTTTACAAAGACATTGTTTCCATGTTTTTCCTTTTCACAAATTTTTTCTCCCTTTTTACCTTTCTCCTATCCTCCCATTTCCTCTACACTCTTAGATTTTTCTTCCTATTACACAATATCAATTATACATTTTAATCCTTATTTACACTTTTACTTTTTCACACCAGAAAAACTAGTTAGTATTTACACATGTATAACTTATTAATTTCACTTAAGAATATGGCCTCCATGTGCATCCACTTAGCTATAAATCTTTCTAGTTTCTCATCCTTTATGGCTGAGTAGTATTCCATTTTATAGAAAAACCACATCTTCTTTATCCAGTCTCCAGTTGATGGGCAGTTGGGCTGTTTCCAAGTTTTAGCTATTACAAACTGTGCCGCTGTAAACATGGGTGAGCATATATCGTTGTAGTATGATTCTTTTAATTCTTTTGGGCAGATACCCAGCAGAGGAATAGCTATGTCAAATGAGACTTCTAATCTTGGTTGTTTGAGGTATCTCCATATTGATTTCCACAGTGGTTGTAACAGTCTACACTCCCACCAATAATGAAGAAGGGTTCCTTTCTCCCCTTCCAGCATTTGTTATTGCCTTGATAGCAGCCATTCTTATAGGGGTGAGATGGAATCTCAGTGTTGATTTCATCTGCATCTCTCAAATGACCAGTGATGTTGAACATTTTTTCATATTTTTATTTGCTGGTTTTGCATCTTTGTCTGAGAAATGTCTGTTCATTTCAGATGCCTATTTTTAAATTGGGTCTTTATGTTTGGGGGGTCTGATATTTTTGAGTTCTGTATATATTCTAGATAGTAGATCTTTGTCTGAGGAATAGCTGGTAAAAATTTTTTCCAACATTGTGGGTCGTCTCTTAGCTTTGTTGGTGGTTTCTTTTGTAGTGCAGAACTTTTCAAATAGCTGAGATCCCAGTTTTTGGTTCTTTGTGCTAGTTCCCATGCTACTGAGGATTTGTTCAGAAAGTCTTTTCTTATACCAATATCTTCAAGGGTTCTACCTAACTTATCTTCCAGCAAATATAGTGTTTCTGCTTTAATATTTAGATCTTTAATCCACTTGGATTTTAGTTTAGTGCATGGTGAAAGATACAGGTCTAGTTTTAATCTTTGACAATTTGAAATCCAGTTTTTTCCAACACCATTTATTAAAGAGTCTGTCTTTCCTCCAGAGAGACTGTTTGGCTCTTTTATCAAAGATGAGATAGTTGAATATATCAGGAGATCTTTCTGCATCTTCTAATCTATTCCACTGATCCTCAGGTCTGTTTCTTTGCCGGCACCATCCTGCTTTTATCACAGTGGCTTTGTAGTATAGTTTCAGGTTGGGGATTGTGAAACCCCTGCCATGTTGATGTTGCCTAGCATGGCTTTTGCTATTCTATGCCTCTTCTGGTTGCAAATGAATTTTTGGATTTTTCTCTAGTTCTATGAAATAAACTGTTAGGACTTCAACAGAGATTGCATTGAATCTTTACAGCAGTATTGGAAGGATAGCCATTTTCACTATATTGATTTTTCCTATCCAGGAACAAGGGATATTTTTCCTTTTCTTATATCCCCTTCAGTCTCTTTTTTTAAGAGTCCTGTAGTTTTCAGTGTAGAGGTTTTTTGTCTCCTTCGTTAAATTGATTCCTAGATATTTCGTTTTTAGATGTTATTATGAAAGGAATTGTTTCCCTAATTTCTCTCTCAGTGAGTCTCTTACTTGTATACAAGAAGGCTATTGCTTTTTGAGTGTTTACCTCATATCTAGCTATTGTAGTGATTCTGTCAATTCAGTCTAGCAGTCTTTTGGCAGAGTTGTTTGGGTCTTCTATGTAGAGTATCATATCATCAGCAAATAGTAACAGTTTCAATTCTTCCTTTCCTGTCTTCATTGCTTTTATTTTTTCTCATCGACTTGCTGTGGCTAATGTTTCCAAAAGTATATTGAACAGTAGTGGTGATAGTGGACATCCTTTTCTCATTTCTAATTTTAGCATAAAGGTTTTCAGTTTTTGACCATTGAGTATGATGTTAGCTATTGTCTTTTCATAGATAGCCTTCACCAAGAAAAATAAGGTTTTGAGGCTGTTAAAGTTTATGTCTGATTCTCAGAACTATTTTAAAAATTTAACAGTAATTCTCATGCAGATGGAAAAATTTAGTGGGTATTATCTTCTTTTAAGTGAATAATATTAATAAGGCCTATCTTTTAAAGACCTGCTTCATAGCAGACTTACAACCTCTGAATCTTAATTATTGAAGGCACTTTAGTTGCTTACATTTCAGATGGAAATTGTATCTATATTAGGATATTCTTGCATATCAACAGGTTGATTATTGGTTTGGCATATTAGTTGCTTTAGAATAATCTACAGTAATGGCAAACCTTTTAGAGCTTTCAATGATAAAAACAGCCCCCTGTAGCATGTGTGCCATAGGTTCAGCACCACCTGAAGTTGAATGTTAAATTCTCTATCAAATACAGGAGATCTCAAATAAGTAAGCAGTCACCTTAAATCTTTTGTGAATCAGCTTATCTGAGTCACTTTGAGTATGTCCTCCCAAGCTATAGCAAATCTCTAAGGACTCATTAATAGTTAGACTTGAATCAATAATTCATCTGTTCAACTACTAGGTCAAGCCCTCTTCAACCTTTTTGATACACCTTTCCCACCTTTGTGATTTTTCTTGACCTTTTTATCTCTGAATGACTCAGGTCTTCCTCTTTCATTTAATTCATCCAGTCAATGTCTTTTGCAAGGAAAACCTGTTCATCATAAAGTATTAATTGAGTGAACTTTTGAAAAAACACTATATATTATGTATGAGCAGGCATCTAAAGAATACATTTTTAAAATAAAGCTTTAGAGTTTATTTTTCCAAGTCTGAGACCTCAGGCCAACTTTTCACAATTAGAAGGAAACCCACATAAATTCGTATCCCAATCTGCATTTAAAGGTTTAAATCGATCCGAACTGCCATGCACAACCGAGTAGCTGATAAATCTATAATCAACTAATGGTAGTTCTTACAGGATAAATTTAATGTCCAATTGTGTCTCTTGGCTAAACTGAAGGAAATATTTGTGGCGAATAATCTACTTTGTTTCTGACTTATATCCATGTGTTGTACCCTGTATCTAAAAACTAATTTTGAATTCAAGTTGTATAGATTTTGAATCTTGAAGTTAAATTGAGACATCGCATCAAATATTATTAATTCATTATATATCAGACTTACTGATATTACATTACTGCATAACAGACTAAGAGAAACAGTTGTAAGCAGCATATGAGGCAACAGAAACTTTTTAGTCTCAGATATTATGTTCTTAGATTTTCATTCTTATTTTAGTTTTATTTTTTAGTGGTTGCTTTTGTTTCCTTCATACATGATTGTCATTTGCTCTCAATATTACAATAGCAAAAATGAACGAAGATACAAAATCCAACCAGTTTTATAGCTCAGCCTGAGTCTGACCTTTGCAGGCTGCATCTATGGAAATTTCTCTTGATTTTGTGTTCTGTTGATTCTGTGGAGCCGTGCTCAATATGCAAGCCAGATTTATTATCTTTGATCTCACTTGCTTTCTCTTTTAGGATTCTCAAATTTGGATCTTTAAAAGTTGTACTATGGGTCCTTTAGAACAAGGTTTAGATAAATCTGAGCTAAAAGTGTTACACTTTTCAATGTACATGTTTGATGGGTTATTTTTTAATTTTCCTCTCTGATCCCAAGTGGATATTTTAATCAGTGTCATGACAAGTATTAACAAGCAGAAAATGATAGTGCTATTGGCTTATCTAGTTCAGTGAAAAGAAAGTTTTTTGATGTTATCTGTTTGTTTCTCCTGTGTAGATCTGTTGTTGGTCTGTATCATGTACTCTTGTGTAACTACTTTGAATATGATACACAGTGCGTTAACTTTGGTTACTCCTATATTGTTGTAAATTTTTGCTTTTTTTCTCATAAAATAAAAAAAATAGCAGGTTCAGTTTAACATAAAGTCTCTAGTATTCCAATCCAATTGAAGAAATATGGAACATTGCTTTTTAAAAAAAAATTTGGCTCATTCTCAATGGTTTAAAGTAAAGGGGTTTCATCTGTCAGTTATGGAAAATAAAGTTAATATGTACTAATTGAAAGTGTAACAAATTTATATTATGCTACTGTATTCTGACTAATAATAATATACTCATTTGAAAACAACATGCACATATAATTTTCCTTTATTCCCCCCTACTAATAAACGGCATTTTATGGATTTCCTGTGATCGCTTATCCTGATTTGAAATAATCCTAAGAAAGTTTCCTTCTATTATTGGTATTTAAGCTTAGGAAAATTTATGTAATGTATTTAAAGGATTACAAAGTAGAACAGTTCATCTGGAACATCAACAAAGTAGTACAGAAGTATAAGATATCCTCAACTGAATAAACCCTGCTATATTTTCAGGTCATTTTTATTATAAACAGATACATATAGAACATTTTCAAAACAGTTTTGTAGGCTTGTGGAACCTGAGTCAAAATAATAGCTGTATGCAATCTCATTCACATAAATCTATTTCATGTGATAACAGAAAATGTATTGTATTTGATGATGAGGATACATGTATGGCATACAGTTTTACACACTTCCTTTTAATAGAACTTTAGTCTGTGCTCCACCTTCTTTGCTTTCCTTTGAAATTCACCCGAAGATTTTGGAAACTCCATATAGTGTTCAGTACCCAGCTTATTAGACAAATTGGTTTCAAATAACCTTGAACAAAAATGGAAAGTTTTACATTAAATTTTATCTTTTATGTCATAACAAATTTATATGCATGGCAGTATGTACCACATTTGTGTGTTTTTGGGATTTTTAATGGGCCTTTGTTTTATTCAGTATAACACAATGATTTTTCAGTAAAATCAAAAGGAATTTGGAAAAGAAAGGAAAGGTAAAAAGTACATATTAAATGTCAACAACGGAACTTTTCATACCTGCCAAAATTTCTTTGTATTACACTTATTAATGTTGCAAATTAAATGTATGCAATTAAGATAACTATGTTACAAATATTTATCTTCAAACAGTTTGAAGAATGGAAATTCTATCTCTTTGGAGTAGGCCTATTTCCCCGGCCTATAGAAACAGCAGAAATGACCACATGCATTGGTCTTCAGTCACCCATCATTATACCTTTCAAAAATCCCACCAAGGAAAATGTGTCTGTCAATATCTTTCTAACAAGTGAGTTCTTTTTCTCACATTTTAAAAGTTATTTCGTAGATATTAATCAAACTGTCCTGTAAATAGTATCAAAATATGATGCTCTAAAAGAGAAAAATATGGAGGGATAGATGAAATATCTTCATGATGGTGGAGAATTAGATATTTAGGTCCTGAACTAATCTCTTCCAATTTTATCTGTAAGTTCAAATACTGTATGTAAGTTAGTCAATCTGTAAGATTCTTATGATTGTATTGAATATACCAATGCTTATTCTTCAAAAGTGACACAAATTCTACTGTTAGGATTTTGATTTCTTCCTCTCTTTTCTTAGTGAACATATTGTGATTAAGTTTTGGTTCTCACAACTCTTGTCTCTTTTTTATGTCATATTTAAGATGCAGGCTTTTAAATTAACGTCTGGGTAGCTTGTAATCATTTCATATTTGGTGTCTAAATATTGTGAGTCCAAACTCACGATATGAACTAATTATGAGTTTTCTGAAATATATTTAAGTATAATAGTAGATATTACCAATTTGGCTTTTTTACTGTTGTTACTAGTACTATATTTACCAGCAGTATAATTGTTGGGTTACAGAAAAAAAATATATAGCTTTTGATGTAAGTGACCAACTTACTCTCCATAATGGCTATACCACTGCAATTCATATTGCTATTAAAAGTATATTATAGATATTATCTGTTTTCCTGAACCTTGTAAATGTGGGGTAGTAACATTCACCTTAATCCCCATCAATCTGAATGGGAAAAAGTATATTTTAGTATCATTGCAAACTTATTATTTTTAAATTAATGTCAATGCTGAATATCCTTCCCCTATTGGAATTTTGGTCTTTCCTGATCATCTCATTATACACTTAGCTTGAAATAGTTTTTTAATTAAAAAAGTAGCGTCATATCATAAAACTTATCAATATGAGGAGAAGTATGCAGTATTTATTAAAAGTTGACTTTAGGATCAAGGAAATCTGCAGCTTAACACAGAAATTTAAGCATGTGTATAAGTAGAAGGAAGAAGCCAGAGTTAAACAGGAATTACAAGTATAAAGGAGAGATCCAGGGATTTAGCTCAGTGGTTCCACTGCCTGCATCACAAGCATAAGGACCTGAGTTCGATCCCTGGTATCACCCCCGAATAAAAAAAAAGTATAAAGGAGATAAGGTTTCACTGCTGAGCTTAGGCCTTGTTTACACTGAATTCAAAGCCAAGGTAAAAGGAATAACTGTGAACAGGGGGAATATTTCTTTCTTTGATGAAGTACCGATAAGATGACAATTGCAAATACAGATAGATGGGTAGGCAGTACAAGATCTTTAGAATTATGAGCAATCAAGTTTACATTTTCATTTGTTGAAGAAAGGAGATATAGTAATAAATTTGAAGAGTGGAGCAGTGATTTGGAATAACTGCTAGAGGGACAAGGAGATTAAACTGATAAAATTCAAACATAACATGTCTTGTTTTTGGCTGAGATTAGAGACTGCACATTTAGATAAACACCAAGAAAATGTGTTTGTATCATTTGTCAACCTTCTAAGGCTCAGAATCTTGATTTAGTAAAATGAAAGGTAGATCTATGGATCTTTCTAGTGAATGGGGGTAAGTAACCCCCCCCCCCGAAAAAAAACCTTCACAATTGAGTATGTTATAAAACCATACTTAGATCAAGATTGTGACATTTAAAATAAGTTATTAAATAATTTATGCACTCTTAATTTTTCTAAAAAATGCCTAAAATTCCTGCTGCCGTGTAACAAAAACATATGATAATCTTAACAAAAAAAATTGATCAGTCTCTTGCAATTCAGACTAGTGTCTTTTAAATCAACTTATTTTCTCTTGGGGAAATTTTGTCAGTTTCACCCTATCCTTCCTTCAGCTTGAAGTGATGGGCTTGAGGAAAAACACTGACCTCTGATATTTTAGCTGTCTTTCTCTGTCTTCTATTCCTGTGATAAGGATTCACTTTCCCTTTTCTTGCCCACAATGTCTCTTGTTCTGTCATATCACCTTCTTTTTCCCTTCTATGGGATGCCGTGTTATTTTTAGGTATCATCTGCATATCTTCTTGTGTTCATGCCCTTTTACAATTAAATCTCATTTTGGCCTGAAATGATAAGTTTCTACAGGGAAACAGGCCTGATGAAAAGAATAACATTTTTAGTTTATATGATAATACTCATTATGTAAGGGACTAAGTTACTAAGTTGATAATCTCATTTAAATGTTTATAAATGTCTGAAAGTCATTTTATTATAGGATTGTGCAATCTTACTGTCTTTCAAAAGAAGATGATGTAAATATCCCTAGAAATTTTACGGAATTCATAGAATTCCCTTAGGGAAATTGATATCAAGATTTATAATATCCCACCAAGAGGTTAGTTGCTGGTATAAGGAATTACACAGCATTGCAAATATTTGTTACTTTAAACTCTCTCTCTCTCTGTTTCCCCTGTATCTGTCTTGTACCTGTCTGTCCCCCCTTTTTTTCAGTAATGGACATTGAAGCTAGGATTCAACATAGGTTAGGCAAGTGCTTTACCTCTGAGCTATCTCTTCAGACTCTTTTAAAGATTCATTTTGAGACTGAGTCTGGCTATATTACTTGGGCTGGTCTTAAACTTGCAATCCTCCTGCCTCTATGTCCAGAGTGTCTGGGATTACAAGTATATTCCACATGTCCTGGCTATTTGGCACATTTATTATAATTAAATTTGTGGGCTCTTTGTGAGCAGAATCTGTGAATTATTTGCTTACATAGCAAATCAGACAAAGTAAACTAAAAATAAAATTCTAATTTCCTGTAGCCAAAGACAACATGCAGTAAAAATAAATTGTCAAAGATCCTTAGGCTATGAAAGGGCATTATTTCTATGAGAAGTAATAAAAGTGGAAACAGTCATGATATCAGTAGGAAATAAAAGATGGTAGAGAAGTTGGCCATCTAGATGTTTGTTGGTGAGTTTGAAATTCTGAAATTCCTACTTTCTTAGAAAAATGGTGGATTTATAGAGCTAAGCATATCTATATGAATAAGACTGACCTAGAGGGGGAAGAGGAGAAGAAGAGAGGGGAATGAGAAAAGGAGAGGAAAGGAGAGCAGAGATATGGCAAGATGTTTAGAAACTTAAATACTGGAATCAGGAATCCACGTTTTATAATGGAGGTAGTGAGAGTTTCAGAAGTTTTCTTGTACCTTATACATTTATATATTATATTTTATAACATTTTCAAAAGATAATACTACAAATATTTGTTGTCAGTGGATATGGATTTGAGGAGTAGATTGGAGTTGAGAAGCAAAGCTCAGAACTTTGTGCCACTAACAATGGAAAAGCCTATGACCACAAGCAACAAGCACACAGGGTATTCCTATAATTTTCCCAGAGGTCTCTGAGAATGTTTCTTTACCTTTTTACTTCAAGTAATTCCATTGTACTGCCTAAACAAATGTTTCTAAATACTTATCTATATTCCCAATACTTTAATGTCCTAGATGAACATTTCATTCTAACTGCTTTATAATAAAGTCTCTTGCTAAAAATCATTGTCCTATTTGGAGCAGAAATTAAAGACTTGGTCACACACTTTTCTGTGCATTACGACAAACATAACTGTTGACCTAAAGAAAACTTTGGTCTCAATCACAAGGAGTTACTATGTGTGTGCATTGCCTTACATTCATGCATAAAACCTTGTTATTTTCTGTAATGCCAGATGAGGATGTGAACCTGACTTTAAATCATTTGGGTTAGGTGTAATTGTATGGTTGATACATAGATATGATTGAATCAGGTGATACACAAAAGTTACCAAGTATGAGGCATAATCTTTGGCAGATATTGCACAAAGTATTTAATTTGTACTTTCTTAAGTTATCTCAGGACAACAAATGTTTAACTGACACTCATCTGAACCATCTTTCCACTGCCAACACCTAACACCAAGCATTTCTTCTGTCTGTCAGAACCTGTTCTGTCCACCAAGGGCAGACAGTAGATGCTAGTGACTTAGGTTTTCTTCATCCTATGGATGGCAGAGGGTGGTGGATAAATGTCACAGTCCCTTGAGCCCCTGAGCATTATATTTATTAGATGTATGTTCTTAAGGTTTTAGAGTTCCCCAACTTTCCTAAAACTCATTTACCTGCAGTAGTAACTAGGTTGATAATGTGTCACTTGTTGGATTCCCATATATATATATTTTTTCTTTTTTGCTTCACTTGTGCAGTCTCTAATGGTATTTCCTGAGGTAATTTCCCAAATAAAGGCTTCTGAAGAAGGTCCAACCAAGACAAGGATTCTCTGAAATAGGAATATCTCCATTTTTAAAGATGAGAAAATTGTGAAATTGAAAGATTTGGCAACTTGGTCATGATCATAAAGCTATAGGGAGCTATTAAGTGAAGCAGCTGAGATAAAAACCCATCTGTAAAGCCAATCTCTGGATAACTGTGCACAGAACTTTTCAGTTGGTAGGAATTTCTAACTGTTCACTTATATACAAACAGAATAAAAACTTGAACTGAAGAAATATTAGTAAAGAATAACAGAAAAGATTTGCAATCTGTTTCTTTGAGAGCTCTAAAATCTACTCATAGATAAAATTGAAGGTACCCGATTCCCTGTACCTGAAATCTACTTCATTTTTCTGAAACCACTATAATAAATCCATTTAGTAAATTTCTTTGTGTGGTGATGTCATATATTCACATCAAATGACAAAGAAATATTCTAAGACAAAAGGCATGATGTATTGGTGGGAATATTGTCAAAGATTTTGTTGGTATATTATCCAGTCTTTCATTCTTAAATCATTGGGAGAAATTTCTTTCAAATATTGCGATTGGGAAGAACAATTGGCTTTATGAGCCATTAGTTGGGTTTTAACCCATGTGGCCTGAGTTTTTAATTCTTTTTTCCTCCATCCATGCCCTTCTAGAAAAAAATTTGGTTTATCCAGAGCTTTTTGTTCTTGCTATAACTTATCCCTCCATGATTCTGAATTATGTTCTTAATCTCATTTTATTTAAAAAAAAAACTTGTTTCTCATTTATCTTTTCTTTTACCTTAAATTGTTGTGAGCCCTTTATACATGTTTTCAAAGAAGGTATAAATAAACATGTGCCTTAAAGAATAGGAGTTTGCAGAAGTTGGTTTCCTTCCTTCCTTCTTTCCTTTCTTTCCTATTTTTCTTGGGGACTTAACTCAAGGTCTTCACACTGAGCTACATCCCCAACTTTTTAATTTTTTGTTTTAATTTGAGACTGTGTCTTGCTGAGTCACTATGTTGCCCTGGCTGTGTTTTCAATATGTGATCCTCCTGCCTCAGCCTCCCATAATACTGGCTTGCTTATTTAAAAACTGATCGCTGCAGAAATATCCTTGTTTATGAGTTTAAGTAAACTCATAAATTTAGACGGTAGCTCTCAACTTACCCAGTTTAGTAACATATAGCTTAGCAATAAAATGTGCAAACAGTAACAACAGAAACAGGATGTGCCTTGGAAATAGCATTCAGTTGACCATTATTTAAGACACCATATAGAGAAAGTCATGTTCCAGGGATCCATTATCTATTTTAATCAGTGCTAACTTGAAAAGATAAATTAGATATGGTGGCTAGATAAGAGATGGCCTAAACATTCTGAGAATCATAGAAATGTCTTAATATATATGGAGAGAGGCAGGGTTACAGAAAAACGCATTACAAATTAATATTACAAATTTAAGGACATATCTGCATTAGCTGTCAGTCCCCTTGTTCATATAACTGTATCCCAAAATTATTCATCGTGACCTTGTTAATGATAGTTATTTTAAGTCATGGCTTTCTTACTACATGAGTATTTCCATTTTAACCTGTTTATACAGCAGGCATTAAATACTTAGTCACTAATGAGCATCTATTGAGAACTGAAAAGTATTGTATGTGCATTTCAAACTAATCACATTTGGATGATGTATACATAAATGCATTGTTTTTCATTTTGCATTGTATTCTATATATAAAATTGCAATAAGGCTTGCATACTGCATAAAGGAGCAAAGCAGAGAAGCAGAGATTAATGCATCAAATTATCTATCTTGATTATTTTTCCATTGGCACAGTTGCAGTTTAGACATTATCATTCTTCGTGTTACCTAAATTTAAATGCAATATTAGTGATTTGACTCAAATGTTTAAATAATAGTACATCCTGTTTCAGATATCAGTAGTTTATAGAAGAACAAAACAAAGTAACACTAGAGATTAGGACATGCATACTAATTAAGATAACACATTAGTTTTACAAGTATCAACTCCAGTTTTATGATAGATTAATTTAAACAAATTACTAAGATGAATTCTTACTGACTTAGAGTTAATTATAACTGTGGTGTTGACCATCAGTCAAGTAATAAAATACACAATAAAACATAATTATGACAAGTTAACCACACTTATGGGACATGGAAAGGAAATACTCAGTGCATTTCACTTCAATCTGTAGAATTAGTTTGTGAAAAATCTGGTCCCTGGAGGCCCTGTGAATCTTATTTGAAGCACATTCAGAATTGAATAAATGTTTATGTTAAATATGTAGTTAATCATTGCAAATTACCAATCAGGATGAGCGTGGCTTTATACATACGAGAGAGATAAATAGATGTAAGAAAAAAACTCACATACTCAAAATCTGTGCTGATTTCAGATGTTCAAATATTTATGTATTCAATTTAATAAATAGTATCAATAGATTTGAAAGGTGTTTGTTTGTTTGTTTGTTTTCGTACCAGGAATCGAACTCGGGTCCTTTTGCTTGCAAGGCAGATGGCAGAGCCCATGAGCCAAATCCCCGGCCCTAGATTTGAGATTTATGAGCAAATAAGTTTTACTGTCAAATATCTTAACCACCTCCTGATAACTTACTTTAATTTATTTTTATTAGTTTGCTTAGCTTATGAAACTTTTGTATGAAGGAAAAATAAATGTAAAATAATGAATAGACCCACTTTTCTGATGAATAATCCAAGACTTTACTTATTTTTAATTATTTTACTTTTAGTGCCCCTCCCGAATTCTTGACTAATAGCTCTCAAAATTCAGTGGGCAGTAATTGGTAAATTATCAAAATTCAGGCTGTTGTGTTCGCACTCATTCATTTCGATTCATTAGATCTGGAGTAAACCACTAATATCAAAAGCTATTCCGATGCAAGCTGTGAGGAAACCAATTTTCAAAACACTGATTATAAAATGACCTCAAAATACAATTTTAAATTGTATACCTTTGTTAATATTTTTCAGCATTCCTTTCAAAACACACATATACTTTTGAAATATATACATGTTCCAGGATCAACTTATATTTTTAATATCAACTGAACTTATATCATTCCCATAGAAAATTAAGATATTTATTTTTGTATATATTAGTTTAAACCTTTCACTACTGTTGCATAGCTGTTATATATTTTCAGCTATGTATATATTGAGCAGTACAATCCATTTTTAGCTTCTGTGTTCGCATATAAGTTTTTTATTTATTTATTTTTTATTGGTATATGTTTGCAGTATACAATGTTTGATTACTTGTGTGGAGCTGATATATGTGCATACTACATCTTAATTCCTTTTTTCTTCTTCTTATCTTCCCTCCATCAAGCAGATTTTTAATCATGGGTCTTATTTCAATAGTTAAAATTTCAAAAGCTTATGAGTCAATTTTACAATATTTTAACCTTATGAAGAAAATCTTTTATAATGTTATATGTGTTCTTCAATAATGTTATTTCAATTTCATGTCAAATATGCTTTGAAAAATATTTATCTGAGAATTTCTCATTAGAGGATAATTTTTTATTTTATTTCCATCTGCATTGTTATTTTCTTCTTGACTGTGACTTTGAAGTCTCTTTATCGCTCTATTTTTTCATTAGATGAAGAACAGCCTAGACACCTTGTCATTGACCACTGCTGGGACAGCTTCATGAATGAGAATTCTGCCTTCCGATTTAGTTCTCTGTGTCGTAGGCAAGGTACCTTATATTTTTTCATTCTATATTCTGCTGCATTTGAGAAATGATATGTATGTCTGTTATCTTAATACATACTTAATATGAATTAAAATACACATTTCATAATTTGAAACAAATTTTGGTAAGTTAGTAAGAAAAGATGGTTAGTATAACTTTTATGCACATTTATTACACTTGTATTATTTTTAATTCCTTAGTAAACAAGTGAGATTTGCCAAAATAAATATATTTTTCTTTTTTTAGATGAGACTAAATCTTGCTGTGTTGCCCATTTTGGTCCCACAATTCCGGATTCAAATGATCCTCTTGCCTTAGCATCTTGTTTTTACAATTTTGAATGTCTGAATATCATATCATTTATGTATATACTCATATATATATATGAATCAAGGAAATTTTGGGGAAAACGATAAATAACCAGTGTGTTAAAGCTATACATAGTAATGAAAATGCATTTTTCATAGGCTAATGATTCTTTGCAAATGTAACAAGATATACATATATTTCTTCTGTTTATTTATGCCAACAACATATTAATAAGTGGAAAGCACATAAGAAATAATGAGATTACCTAACAATCTAAAACTTAAAAATCATGAATTTGCTTAAAATAATGTTTTTAAATTTCAAAAACAACTTCATGATACAAGTGATACAATATGAATTACCTTAACATTGTTAATATAAAATGACTAATTGAAATCAATTACTACTGATATCCCTCTAACATAGGTTAATGAATTTCTTCTATTTACTGTAATTAATATTAACATCTTTAATATCATTAATTCAAATAATTTGAGAAAATTCCATGGGGTAGGTGTTATTATATTCATTAAATTGAGAAAATTTCAGCTTAGTTAAATTATGTTACACAGAATTCAAACAGTTGCTTAATGGCAGAGCTGAACCTTCTGTTTCTGATTTCAAAGTTTTTATTTTTATTTCCTTGCAACATGGAATATATATAGTTCATTAAAGAAAAAGTATAGATTCTGGCCAAAGAAAGTGTGGAAATGAGTTTAATGTCATTAATATCCTACTGTGAAAATAAGTTCAATGTCATTAATATCCTTGATTTAAACAACCCCCAAAGCACCCATAATTGCAAATCCTCCATTTAATTAGCCTATTTCCACTTTTATTTTAATAACAAACATTTTGTTGCTATTTGTATTTGTAATGTGACTTATCCTACACAAATTGCTCTAGCACGCTCTAGTTTGCTATATGATATGATGTTACATTCCATTTAATTCAATTAGGTGTGAGGTATTAAAAGGAGGATATACATTTTGTTCCATGGATCTATATCTCAGTCTTCTGCCACTATCGCATAGTTCAAATGCTGCCATTTTGTTTTCTTATTTGGTTTCTTTCTTTCACTATCTTTTAAATTTTTTTTTCCTTTTATCGTTTATTTATCCATATAGAAAAATATTGGAATAGTTTATCATCAAGCCCTAAAAAACTCAATAATATTTTAATTGAAACTACATTAAATCTATGGACAAATTTTGAGGAAGGCTATATTTGTATGATATTTAATCTTGTTTAGGACCATTCATTTCCTTAGTATTTCATAGAACAGTGTTTATAAATTTCAATAAAATCCAGTCCATATTTGCATGACAAAAATATAAAGCTTTCAATAGTAGTATTTTATTTTAAATAATTCAGTTAGTAATTATACATTATTATATACATAATGCAATTTCTATGCAACAAAAAGGCCAAATTTTTGTATCTAAATTTTAAATTTTCTAATTTGAAAAATAGAGATTAAATGGTCTATTAATTTAACTTACATTGTAGTTTTCAAATGGGTTTCAGATTTAATCTGGTTTTCTGCTGGATTCGTTATTGATTTTTCTAGTTTTGCTGTGACTTGATTTTTGAGAGAATGTACAATCTGCCTGTGCAACAGGCTGGACATGTCAAGATGTGCTCCCTACTGCTCTACATAATGAAATATCTGAAGGGGGTTATTTTGTAGAAACTTTTCATTTGCTCTTATATTCCTGTATGCAATAATATTAGTTTTAGAGTGTTTTCTGGTGATTTTGGAGAATAAAAACCATAAGACTGCAATGGACATGAAACCTTACCCTTTTATATATTGGCATTCTTAGAGACATTGGGGTAACTGTCATATTGTAAACAATTTTTTATAGTAATGCCATCATATACTAGCAAAAGCATTTATGACCCTAAAATTAAGTCTTCGTAAATCAACATTAAATATGTCCTTGATGAACATTTGAGAACTGAAGTCTATTATATTTTTGACCATTTTTACCAATATGTGTTATTGTAGAATAAAAAGAAAAAAAAACGACTAAGCAATATGCTTAAAACATTTGAAAAATACTGAAATAGTGGACTAAAAATGTATCTTTATGATAGTTTTTTTTTTTTTTGGTACTGGGATCAAAGTCAGAACCTTGCGCTTGAGAGACAGGTGACGGAACCACTGAGCTAAATACCCGGCCCTTAATTTTATTTTATTACCTTCTTAGATCTTTCCAATTCTGTAATTACTATATTCTTTATTTTCCACAAGGCATTAGACAAATCCTTATCTATCCCTGTGATATAAGTATATGAATTTTAGTAGATTGAATACTTAGAACCTATACTTCTGATAGTCATTACAATTTATATATCAATAGTCATTTCTTTTCTTATGTTTTTAATTGTCCATCTTTATGTTGCTTTTCACTAAGCAAAATCACAACCATAGTGAAGTGCTCAATTATTGTTGTAATAATGCATTGATATTTTATAGCAACACCTCACTATCTCAGTGTATTAAAACCAGGAATATTTATTTTTCTGGTTCATTGATCTTCTGATTGGCTAGGTAACTCATCTTTAGATATTGCATCCCATTTGCTCTATGTGCAGTACTGCCTATTCTGGCATATAACTAGAACATGCTTTTCTTGTGACTAGGAGAAGCACAAGAGAGCAAGTGGAAATAAAATAGACTTCATATGTTCTCAACTCTGTTATCAGCTAATGCCACTTTTCATTGGTCAAATTAACTCACATATGTTCATGCTTATTGTAAGTGGAGACAGAAAATATATTCTGCCTAATTCAACATGTGACAAAACAAAGTCAAGTCAAATTCAAAGGAAATTTTAATTATAATAGAAATGAGTCAAACATCAGAAAAAATATGCAGTCTACTACATCTGGCACAAACCAACTTTCTGCCCTTGCTCCACGTGCTTACAAATTGATGAACGTGGCTGGATGACAAACAAACAAACAAACAACAGGGAAAGAAAGCTTTGACTTTTCTTCTATTAGTAGGGTGAAAGTGTGCTACTCTTGGGATCCAGATCCTACTTCGAATTTTTCAGTAATCTCTCACTTATCTCTCATCTCATCTATATCTGCAGTGTTTCCCTGTTCTGGATGATTTCCACAGTATATACCAGCATCTTGTACTATCACTATATGAGAATAAACAGTGATTCCAGGAGTCCTATAGTCACTGCTTTATTTGAATCAAAATTTCTAGAAACAGTTGTCTGTACTCATGTCTCTACTTCTTTACCATCAGTTACCTAACTTGAAACAAGTATATTTGATCCTGACTACAAGACTAAAATCACTTTTGTTATGAAAGTCATAGGTTCCATGTTGCAAATCTCAACCACAAGTCAGTGTCCTCATCTTACTTTAACTCTCTATAGCAATTGACATATTTGACTTTACTTTTGAAATGCCATATTCATTTGACTTCTTCCTTCTCATTACTCACTCTTTCAGGGTCTTCAGTTTTTTTTAAATCTATTATAACTCTGTTTTTATTTTTTTACTAGTCATCTATGTCATGACTTTCTAATTTCTTTCTCCAATTATAAATCTTTCCTGAGAACTGCACAGTTTCTTCTTTTTATGAGTATTCCATGAATTTCTCAAATTAAGCGTCACTTTTTATGGGTATTTTTTGTGTTTCCCTGGCTGATTTCAAATTCCTGGATTCAACTGATCCTCTTGCCTCAACCGTCAAAGAAGATGGCACAACAGGCATGTGCCACCATGCTCAGGTATAATTATTGTTTTAGATATAGTTGTTCCCATCATCTTCAAGCTAATTTATTCCCCAGAAATTGCTCTATTTCTATCAAACACACCATTATACATTAGTTTTATTTTACTGAAAACAAGGAAGTCAGATTTGATTTATTTTTCCTCAGTGCAAAACTTCTAGTACATCAATAAAGACTGCTGGTAGGTCCACGGATTTAACTCAGTGGGACCTTGCCTGCCTTGCAAGCGTAGGGTCCTGAGTTCAATCCCTGGTACAAAAAAACATAATAATAATAAGACTAATGGTAAAACCACCAACATATATCCCATTTCAGGAAGCTTCCCTCTAGACTATGTTACCAGAACTCCTGTAATAGCTTCTTTTTTTCAACCTTATTGCCTGCAATCTAATCTCTACATGAACCCAGAGTAATATTTCATAAAATCAAAACATAAAGAAATTCAGTTCTATCACCATGCTGTTGAAAATCTTCTTGTGTTGTCTAAGTCAACAAGGAGACTCAGGCAGAGTGGCCTCATATGATCTGATTTATGCTTATTTTTCTGGCCTCACCTCCAGTTGCCTTCATCGTTCACTGAAACTGCTTATCTCTACTTGGAACACTCTTACACCAACTGCTTCTTTAACTTTCTTCAAATCTTTTAACTTCCATGGAATGTTATTTTTTAATTAAATTACCTGTACAACTCTCTCTCTCTCTCTCTCTCT